AGCGATTTGGGTTCTGTTTTGTCACCAGTGGGGGCTCCGATCAGGATCAGCGTTTTGGCTCGACTTGCTCTGCAGGGATGATCAGAAATCTTCTGCAGCATCCTAAACACACTAGAGCAGAGAAGGGTGTGGCTGCTGTCTGAGATGAGCAGCCTGTATTGATTTCCACATGTCAGTGTGCCTTTATTATTGCTGATCACCGATCAGGCCACGGTGAGCAACGCGGATGCCTCGAGCTGATGGAGCGCAGCTGGAGCGATCGCCGCAGAAAGCAACTGCCTCCGTTGTGTACGAGAGGATTTGCCTTTGGTTTAGAGAGATGTCGTCGTCGTCGTCGCTGAGCTTTTATAGCTCTGAACGTGTGGCAGAAAAAGGCCTCAGCTGCTTGTAAAGAAGCCAAATGTATGAGTGAGTTTCCAGCCTCTCTGTCTCTGAATCCAAGTGTTTACAAGTTCACTTGGAAATCAGACTTGTTCCAAAACACAAAAGCACCAGGAAAGGCTGAACAAATGCATCTCACATCCCATACAAAACATTTGAACATAAAAGCCACGCCAAAGGCGACTTTGCTGGTGTTTGCGTGAGTTCATGAGCAAGGTGTCCCAGGATTCAGGGTGAATGTGCATTCAACTTTTAAAAAGTAAAATACAACTACAGCTGATTAACTTTTGGAGTCAACCTGGTTTAAGAAGGTTGTCACAGCTAATCTGAACAACAACTAAAAGGATCCTGCTATCTTAAATGCCATTATGCTTTTGAGATTTGACCAACGCTCCTTGTGTCTCTTTAAGGAAGCCTCTAACTTCATTTTAGCAATCAAGGTTTATGAAGTTGGCTTTCTTCATCTCTTCAGCCTAAATGAAAACTTTTTGCACACTAACGTTCTTCAGGAGGAATGTTGATTGTGTCGTCTTGATATTACTCACCCTGCTAATTGTTCAAAGCCTTATGATGGAAAAAAGCATTTTGTCAACCGTTCCTTCCATCATCTGTTCCGCTTGTTCCTCAGTAGGGTTGCAAGTTAGCTGGTGCATGTTGTGTCTACCACTAGAAGGCAGCGTAGGAGAGGAGAACGTAGGTAGGAGAGAAAAAGAAGAAGTGATTAGAGCAGCTAGGATGGATGCCTGATACTGCCACATTTGATGTAGGTTCGAATAAAGCTTGGAGAATGAATTCTGGCCTACACGGGATACTTTCTGATGTAACCACAGCCCATAACAGTGTCCACCTCTAGTCCTCACCATGTGAGAGGCGGAGGACAGGTGTCCAGTCCACATGGACACACAGAAACAACCATTCACACACTCCTTGGGACAATTTAGATGCTCCACAAAAACATTAGATGCATCTGTGGGAGGAAACCAGATCACCCTGAGAAAACCCACATGCAGAGGGATAACATGCACAGAAAGGCCATAGCTGGGATTCAAACCTGCAGCTTTCTCGCTGCTGGCAGCAGTGCTACGAACTGCACCACTATGCAGCTAAAAACAGCTTGTCGAAGTATTGACTTCCTTCTTTAAGCTCGTTAGCTGCACATCCCGAACAGGAAAACGACAAGTGCAAACACAGACATGTTCCCTGGAGCTGACAACACCCCTGGGTGTTCTAGTGAGCTGAAGAGGGGCCTGAGAAGGACATATGCCGGGACGTTAATCCGCTAAAAGAAAAAGCAGAGCTCCAAACAGCAGGTGTTGAGCCAAACTAACAATCTTAATCTTGTCAACTTTCTATTCAGCTGTTCTGACTCTGAGCCTCATTGTGAACAACAGAGCTGTCATTGGGAGAAAATTGTCCATGTTTCATTATAAGTGTCTTGTTAGTGCAAAAGAAAGCACACGCAGTGATGTGCATGAGGTTTTTTTCCCCCCTTTGGCTTGCATGTACCGTGTGTGTGTGAGTGTTGCTCTCCCACTGTGCGTAGTGAAGTGTGTTGAAGAGATTTTTTGCATCATTTCCTTCTTCCTCCTAAGCATTAAACATGAATATTTAAAACTACATCAAACAAGCATTCATGAAATATTAAAATGTTCAAAAACGAAGAAAAGCTTTTATCATCTCTCTCTCTCTCAAGTGTTTTGTAGTCTCTCTGTCGCTCTTGTTCTTTTTTTCATACACACACCTTCACACACATCCTGACGGACGTGCGAATTAACACACCTTTTGAATTTAACCCACAAGTACAGAAGACAAACCTTCCTGCTGGATTCCCTCTACTCTGGTATCAGCACGTTGCTGCATTCAGCATAAGAAGCAAAGATGGGGGAAGGTTAAATAATTTACTCAAATGGATTTTTTTTTCTTCGTTGGCAAAACAAATCATTAAAAGCTTCGTTTTGGGGAAGTTGTACAAGATGCGTCACATTTCACGGGAGGGCATTGCAAAGCGTTTTAGGAGAGCTTTGCTTTGGCGAGCGATTCTCCGTCATGCATCCTGTTCAAGAGAGATGCACTTGGCTGAAAGATTAAGCACTCACTTATACTATTTAATTTTGTTTCTAATGCTATATGCTTACAAGGCAAAGTTAATCTGTGGAGTGCTCGCTCTTCCCCTTACCCCCCTCTGCCGTATTACTCTCAATCTCTTTCGCTCAATTTGTCTTTCTGTCTGGCTAAAACCTCCAGGCTGTGCTAATCACTGTAGCAGCAGCTCTAAGCAGATGCTGCTGTATTTGGAGAAAAAAAATCCTGTTAAGTGTGAATTTAAAAAATGTAGAAAAACTAGCTCTCGTCGCTGAAATTGCTCCATAGTCAGTAACAGCTGACTTGTTTGGGCTTCTGCTCGAATGTAGCCATTTCGGTAAAACTGATCTTTGTTCCCTAAATGAATCACCTCCGGTTTATCTTTCTCTCCTTCGGTATCGGTATTGTTGTGAGTATATGGTCAGTCGTACTGATGTTAAATGAAGGAAGCCCTATTTGTCAGCAGGCCTGTGATTGGACTGTTGCCTCACAGCACAAAGGTTGCAGGTTCGAAACTCGGCTCGGCTGCGGCCTTTCTGCGTGGAGTTGCGCGTTCTCCCCATGCATGCGTGGGTTTCCTCCACAGATCACAACATGCCCTATAGGTTGTAAATTGTAAGTCGCTTTGGATAAAAGCGTCTCCTAAATAAATAAACATAAACATAATGCGTTTGTCGTTGTGAAACCACATGATGTAATTTAAAAGCAATGGGAGATTAATGAACACAGAGGCCCAGTAGGGCTCAACAGCACATTGATTCTGTCATTTTTGTCATGCTGTGCTCATTTAAAATAAATATTTTTTCTCGTTTATTCTGTGCTTGTTTTAATTCTCATTCCCTTATGTGGGACAGGTACACGCTGCAACTCCTGAAGCCAAACCTTATTTTCTCCATATTTTTCCCTCCCTGTTTGCCTGAGTAGGGGCCCGTTGCTTAAGGGAATAAAAAGGAGAGCAGTCATATTGCAGACTAAATCTAATCAAAGACAGAAGTGCCTTTGAATGTCTTTTGTTCCCTTGGGCAAAGTGTTTTTGTGGGCCTATCGGTTCTAACTGCTGCATCCTGCTCAAACTCCTCCATTTTTAAAATGCAATTAATATCGAGCAGGTACCCCGGCCTGTGCTCCCATCATACGATCCCAGAGTCGGAACAGAGGTTAATGCTTTGAATTTAATCTCTGTCCTCGTCGTTTTTAAGTCGAGTTGCATTGCGAGAAAGGGGAAATGGAACTGTTGGGGGCGGACATGCCGAGGAGGAGGGGTGCAGTCAGTCTGGAGAGAGATTGGTGGTTAGAGCGGAGCTCAGACGGAAGCAAAATTAATTACTGGTCTCCATAAATTCAATGTCATGTCTCATTTTCTTTAATCATTCCAGCCTTTCTCACTTCCTAGTGGTTCTAACTGAGGGGCTTGGGAAGACTAATGAAAAGGCCTCTTAGATGCTAATGGCAAATTAGCCTTCGTGTCACTTTTAGAGGCTGAGTGGAGGGACTGCCTCCTCGTCAAGGATATGGTGAGGTGGCAGTCTGGACTTCTGCCTCCACTTTGTCGCTTCCACATGCGGTTGTTTCCTTATGCCACGCTTCTTCTCCCAAGATTCACGGCTGTGATTGTGTGTTTCTCAGACCAAAGCCAAGATCTCACTGCTCAGTGAGGCAGTTTGCTTTCCCTTTGAGGGATTAGCGGTTTGGATTGTGAATAATCACGTTTCATCTCTCTTGTTTTGGTCGTTACTCAGCTGGACCGAAGTCAGATTTAACAACTCACTTGGATTATTGTCCGATCAGGCCTCAGACACAAACAAATGAAGTCACATGCTTGAAGAAAAGCATTTTTCCCTCTGTCTCTGACTCTAAAATGACACGCCGAAAGAAAAAATAAGACATGGCATGGCTTTAGATCTCAGAGGCAGCATCTGTTTTCAGTTTCATTCTGTTCCAAAACACTCCCATCTCTCACAGAAAGATACAATATGTCACAAGTTGCATAGTTTGCCACTTTGTTTGAAATTCAAAGCTTCATAAATAAATGACCGAATGACAAATCTGTTTAATTTCTGTCTGTCTGAGGAGCCGCTCTCAGTCTCCAGCCAGTCGTGTCTAGAAGCTGCATCCTGTCATGGAGAATTGTACGATCTGGGGTATTAATGAGTGTTTCTGAGGGCTCTAGACAGCCTCCACTAGGTTGCTTTGACTCATCTTCATTTTACTCCTGCAGCTGACTCTCTCAGCAGACAGGAGAGAAAAAAATCAAATAGCCAAACAACAGTTGTTCTCGAGGCGGCAGCCAGCCAGAGTCCAACACGTGCAATTATGTAAAACTTATAATCCAATTAACAAGCACAAAAAACCTCACTGATCGTTCTATAATGGGAATACAAAGCTGAGAGGTGCCATGTTCAGGAAGCTGCTCATGTGTAAAAAATCCAAATGGCGTGAAATGAGTGTGTCTGGTAATGTGTTTGAATAAAAACCCATGCTGCGGCAGTCCACCAGAGCGCTGATCACTCTCTCTCTTCCTCTTTTTTTCTTCACAGGCATACTTCCGACAGGGTGTTGCCCTTCAGTACCTTGGTCGCCATGCCGACGCGCTGGCCGCCTTTGCCTCCGGGCTGGCCCAAGACCCCAAGAGCCTTCAGCTACTTGTGGGCATGGTCGAAGCTGCAATGAAGTCGCCGCTACGAGGTGAGAAATGTAGCAGCAGCCGAGGACGTGTGCCCGTTTCAGCTCATTTTCGTGTCACCATCTGCGCTTCACTTCCTCTGCGTGTTTTATCCTACAGCCGTCTCTCAGATAATCCTGATTCTGTCGGCCCATACGCCTGTTGGGGTGACTTTACCTGTCAGTTTTTTTTCAAGTTGTCCAATAGGGAGGCCGCCTCTATCTGTCTATCTTTTTCTTCTTTGTATCTGATTGTTGGTGTCAAGTACTCTACAGCATGATGCCTGCAGCTTCAGCACATTTTATCGTCAGTCAGGCTGATCACACAAACAGATACTCTCTTATCTTAATGAGCATCGGACATTGATGCTGTTGTGTTTCTCTGCCTTTATGGAAGAACTTTGGTTTCCTAAAGCCAGTAGGCTCAGCATCCCTGAGGGAGTTTCAAAAAATCTCTTTAAATGTTTGAGTTGTGAGAGAGCATGAACATTGGAAAGTGCTTTGGATGCCTTTAAAAGTACAAAATAAATCCAGTCCATTATTATTATTGTGACTATCTTTTTTCTCGACGTTTTTTCTGTCCATAGGCCCGTTTCCGCTATAAGAACTTAAAGGTCAAGTTTTCTTAAACATATTTCATTATTATTTAAAAAAAATCTTTTTTATATTTAAATGTTTTTGTTTTTGTGAAGCGACTCATGATTTTTATCTTGAGGGGCGCTGTATAAAAGATGGTTTTCTTTCTTTTACTTGTGTGTTTATTCATGTGCAGGAATGAGTGTCCTGTAAGTCATTCTGTGGGGCGAAAAGCTCAGATGCCCCTGTGTGAGGATGAGGTGGACAGCTGGGGGAGAAAGGGGAAGCAGACAGCAAGATTTGGAGTCTATATCCTGACATTTGGACATCTTCCCTCTGATTGGCTAACAGCAACATGACTACCACCGAGTCCGTTTGTTGATGTTTTATCTCCACAAGTAACACAAGTCTGAAGGAGTTCTGCAGCGTGGTGGAGTTGCTAATGCTAACAATTAGCTTCTACTTGGCTGAGACGTTCTTTGCTGTTTCCTGGGCGCTAAACCAGCTACAACCTTCCCCGTCGTGAGTCAAGATGGGTGAGTCTGGCTAACTTCTACCTACGTCCTCAAACAGGAGCGTCTGAGCTTTTTATTCCCCAGAGAACAACTTCCAAGCCATTGATTCCTACTACAGACGACTGCAAATGTATGAAAAATAGGAGTAAACTTGATCTTTAGGGTTATTTTACCAGATCTGCACCATATGTGTGTGTCTTATTTTCTCCAGCTGGTCCGACAGATTCACTTCTGAGTATCTGAAATGGGGTGTGTCCTCAGAATTGGCCCAGTAAAGTCACTGGGCAGGAGTTGTGGTTAACTCATGCTGATTGGTTGTAACTGAGAGGGAAATTATATTGGTTGGCATCACAAATCAACCAGCATTTGTAAAATTGGAAGAGTTGCTGTTGTGGAATGGAAGGGAAAAGCAAGTAAGCACAGTTCATGCTGCTTTAAAATAGCTATTTCTAAATTCCAAATGCTAAAAATGCAACGGAAATTCCCCCGCAACGCCGCAATTTTAGTCGCTTTGTTTCGTCATACAGATTGTAATAAAAATGTGGCGCCTTTTCTGGTCATTGAATGCCACTTTTGATGTCACACAACAACTATCACCGTCTCCAGAATGGATTACCTTAAGGCGTACTTTGACATAATTAAACTGTTTTAATGGTATGAGTGTTTGTTGATGACTTTTGGAGCTTATCAGTGATGCCACTCACTGCCAAAATAGTTGCGATAGTCTGACGTCTTACCAAAGTCCCGGACGGGCCGATTCTGTATGGCGCTCCAGTGGCTGAGAGGACCAAGCCAGCGTATTCTCCTAGTCACCTTCCCTCCTTCCACAAATGAACTCTTATAGAGGAAACGTGGCTCATGTATTAGTTGTCACACACACACCCTGGGGGAGCGGTGAGCTGCAGACACAGCCACGCTGAGGATCCATTTGGTGGTCATTTGCCACCATCTAGAGTGAAAAGACTTTCAAATATCTGTGCAGCGGGTGGGAGTCAGTGGGTAGAGCAGATGGTGTGATCTACAGTACCTGTGTGGTGTACATGGAAATACTAGACACAGCTGTCACTCACCCATCAGCCCACTGGACCGGTTAACTATCTGCTTTAGAGAGTTTCCTTTTTTTCCCCGTGGCGTGGTTTTGAACATGTTCAAAACAATTGGCAATACAAATAATCTCTGAAAATATGGTAAATGGTTCTGTATTTGTATAGCAACTTCTCAGGGTTCTACAGCCCCCCCCCCCCCCCCCCCCCCCCCCAAAAAAGGTGCTTCGCTACACAATCAGTCATGAGGTGGTGATGAGCTACATTGTAGCCACAGCTGCCCTGGGGAGCACTGACAGAGCCTGCTGAACACAGACACCACCGGTCCCTCCAACCACCACCAGCAGGCATGGTGGGTTAAGTGTCTTGCTCAAGGACACAACAGCAGCATTCTCTGGTCGGAGCCGAGATCAAACCTGCAACCTTCCAACTACTGGACAACCCACTTTACCTCCTGAGCTGCTGCTTTTCCTAAAATAATAGGGACATGCATCTGGAATCTCGAACCTTTCTCAGTTTAGCTTCCATCATTTTAAACTTGAGACAACTTTGTGAACAATTTGAAACACATTTAAGTTTTTTTTTTTTACTAAATTGTGGCAGTTTTTCTGCAGTCCTGCCAAATACCCCATGTCACCCATTTTACAATGGAAAATTCCCACGTTTTTGTTTTTCCAGCTGACTACAAAGTTGCAGTCCAGCGAGACCGAAGTGAAGCAAATCTTTCCATTCTCACACTAAATCTGAAAAAAAAAACTTTGGCAATTATTCATTTTGGGTTCACATTGGTAAATGTAATTATCCAATTAGCCTCAGTTTTACCTTTGATGTCTCTACTGGTTATTTATAACTCCTCAATGTCAACGGTGTACAAGGCCCCCCCCCCACTTTGCCAAACGGGACAGACTCTGTGGCCTTATGTAGTTTTGCTTTATGATTCAACAATTTGTGGAGTATGCAGTGATGTTCTGCTGCAAGTGAGAAATAAACTGATGACATCATCTCTCTGAATATTTGTGTGCAGATACAAAAGACGTTGGAAAGGACAGTTAAAAAAGAAGGGCCCATCTTGGCTTACCTGATCTTTTGAACCTGCCACTATAATCAAAACAATCAACGAGTTTGGGTGTAAGCCCAGACCGGTGCATTGTGGACCTGAATGGATCTTCTCAGTAGGAGATGGCCAATGTTTAGCCCAAGCTACTTAATCTCCTAATTGTTTACCCTATTCCCCAAAGTGCCAGGAAACCTCCTGAGGACCTAATCCAAGGTGTGTGGAGGAGAGGTAGCTAGGCCAGAGGATTAAGAACAATGATCCTCTCAATGGGGCTCTTGGCACAAGAGGATGCTAATCAATGCTACGCCAGCAAACATGGAGGATAATCGGAGATAATGGCTTCAAAAGCAATGTTAAGAGAGCATGTAGATGTGAAGTGCTTCCTTTCCTTCAGGCGCATCACTTCTGCTGCTCTAACTGGGGTTAGGGAGTTGACTGAAATTAGAAAAGTTTGATTTGTTACTTTAAACCAGGGGTCCTCGATTATAATGAAGCAGGACAACACCTGTCCCCCTCCAGCTCGGCTGTGTGACTGCACTAACCTGTCCTGTGTGACCCTCACCATGTAACCCTCATGTCCATGCTGTCTCTGGAGGAGCAGATAGGAGACAAGATCTCCTGTAACTTAAAATGAACCAAAGCTTCCTCCCAGTTTCTCTTTAAGCTGAATTTAACATCAGTTTATCAACATGAAACAAAAGAATAAAGTGGAACAAGAATTTCTGTCTTCTATTTCTCTCTCCTTTTAACTTCTCCGTGCCCCTAAATAAAAGAGACAGATAATTACGCTGCAGCCGCCGTCACTCACCCCGTTCCCTCCCCAAGACCGGACCTCCCGACATCACAGCACTCGGTCTGAGCGCTTCCAGGAGAAACAATAATGAAATTATGAAAATAATAATGCGTGTTTGGAGGAGTGTCCTCCGATCCTCTCTCGCATGAGCAGTCAATCTCCCGCTCTCTCTCTCTCAGTCGCTGATCGAGCGAGCGGAGCGCGTCGCACAACAACCCGCTCAATTAACATAATTTACGGCCCAAATCCAACAGAACCGGTCGGGCTGATTCGATTCGGGTTCGGTCTCGGGTTACAACTCCAGCGCTCAGCCCTGCAGTACCACAAAAAGGCAGATCAAAGTTTCCTACCCAGTAAATGGAGAACACCGCTCTGACAGATTTGGATGCTGCGCTGGTGCCGCCGTTAAAATAACAAAACCACATTCCACTATAATTGATTATGGTACTCTTCTATGATGCAAAACCGTTTATGCCTGCATCTCATGCATTGATTATTTGATTATTTTCCTCAGCTCTATCCTAAACTTCCCGGTCGGCCATCGGGGGTGGGGGGTGCGCGCGGGGTTTGGGGGCCACAAAGAGAGGGCTCGCGGGCTGGACGTGACCCGCGGGCCGCCATTTGCAGACCACTGCTTTAAACTGTGTGTTGTCCCTTTAGGTGAACCCGTTTGTGGGCAAAAACAATTATGCCGTTACTTAGAGGAACTTGTCATTTGTTTCTAATTACACATCAAGTCTCCTTTTCAATACATCCTCTGCAGGCTGCCCCTGTGTAAACTGTAGCTCGACATAACTGCGATGCTGCCGATCACATCGAGCTATGATCGCTGCATTCATATCTCAGTGATTTATTTGATTACAGACATATCAACGCTATGGGATGTTTTCCGTCTACTCAGAGCTCTGTGTTTGCTGAACAGCTCCAGCTGATGATTTCATAACAAAATAAACAAATAATGAACTAGAATATACAAAAGATAAATATTGTAAAGTTGTGTATTTTAGGACTTCCTAAGCATATTTAATATGTATTTGCTA